GATCTTTAAAGGACCGTTTACCCATAATACTTTACCATCATATAATGAACAACCAACTTCATATTTAACTCCTCTATGACCATACTTTGGATTAAGAAATGAATTATCTGTAGTATTGGTTCTTAAGAAAGTTGTATCTACTGCTAATGTTAAAAATGGATCATTTGAATGTGTATTTCCAGACTCTGTTAAATCTTTAATTTTTTGATCAAATCTATTTGCTAATTGAGACTTTAAAAATATAAAAGAAAAATATATTATTATTAATATGTTATATTGTGTTTTTGCTATTGTTTATATATATACATAGTACTTACTTGAAAAAGTAAAAACCTAGCGGTATCAATAACTTTCCAAACATGGTCACCATAAGTTCTTGAACTAACATTGAATTTCTCTGCTTTTTCATCAAAAGTTGTATAATATCTTAAATAATCGAAAGTCCAAATTATATGCTCTTCATTAATACCATCATCAATTGAATATAAATCTGCCCATAATTGATTAATAACTTCTTGTGAAAAAATAAAGTGTTTTTTAAATTTGCTTGGTTTATAATCTTCTATTCTTTTTTTTAATCTTTTTACCATTATTATTTTATAATATAATATTTATGTTATTATTATTATTATTATTAGTATTATTAATTTTACTACTGAAATATATTATGTTTTTTTTTATTATTTATAATTTTTTAATAATTACAAAAAAAAAGAAAAATAAATAAAAAATTAATTTATATAATAAATAAAACAATGAAAAGCACACTGTGATGTTGTTATAGTGAAATATTTCAAAAAATAAAATTCATTAACACACACTAACACACTAACACACAACACACAAGCACAATATAAAAACATAAATACCCACACATACTTTAACACACACAAACATAATAAATTTATTGTATTGAAAAAAATATTAAATTATTTTATTTGAAAAAAAAAAAAAAAAGAAATAATAAAGAAAAAATTATTATAATAAAGAATTATTTCTGCGTGACATTAAAAAAAGAAATAAAAAAAATAAAATTTTAAAATTTAAAAAATGATTTGAAAAAAAAATGAATTAACTGAAAAGTTCTTTTTAGAAAATAACTAATAATTTTGGGAAAATAATAAAAATAATAATATTTAAGTTTATATCTTTTCAATTTAAATTAAATAAAAAAAAATAAAAACTTTTTTTTGTATTAATTGTTGGAAACCGAATTTTTGTCATACCCATTCGATTGAATGGTGCAATAGTTAAAGTAACTCATTTTATATATTTCTATAATTTTACAGTATTTTTTAACAAAATATAGAATTACTTTTAGTTTAGTTTAATGTTTTTTCAAAAAAAAAACAGATCTTTTTTGAACATCATGAAATGGCCGCATAGCATAGTGGTATTGCGCTTCCCTAGTAAGGAAGAGGTCGTGGGTTCGATCCCCGCTGGGGCCTTTTTTAGAATATATCTTCCCGGTGTTTAAATTTGGGAATAAAGTTCATTGTAAGGTACTAAGATCAAATAATTAAATAAAATAAAATTTATATGAAATGTTTATGTTTTTGTAAAATTCGAAAACTAAAAAGTTTTTATTATTTTTATTTTTTTATTTTTTTTAAATTTTTTTAAAATTTCTTTTTTGATGAATTAAAATAATTGTTGATTATTATTAATTAATGCTGATTATTATTGAGTAATGATCATTGTTTCATTACAAAGCATAATGGAACAACATTCTTCATTATTTTAAAGCATTTGTTTTAAATAATATCACTTTAAAAAAAATAAATAAAAAAATCGAAAAATGAAAAATTAATATCGAAAAAATTTAAAATAATAAAAAAAAATTTATGTATATAAAATAATATTCACCTTATTACTATTAATAGAATAACCCCACATATATGACATATAAAAAATCTAATAATTCGAAAATTTTTTTTTTTTTTTTTTTTGTTTTTTTTTTTTAATTTTTTATTTTTAATTTTTTTTTAATTTTTTGTTTATTTTTCAAATCGAAACAAAAATAACTTTATAATATAGGTTAATAAAAAAATGTTTCATAATGATAATCTTATCAAAAATTGGGCAGAAATTAATAACTCATTCAATAATTTTAAACATGTTTTTAGAACTACCAATAAAATTATTATAAATAAATATTTTAATATTAATACAGAAGAGATATTTAATAACTATACAAGTATAATAGACCTTTTTAATAGATCATTAAACATAATAAATAAAGATACCAACAGCGAAAGTCATCATCACCACCATTATTCCTGTAATAATTCAGATTGTAAAGAGAATAACAATAAACTATTCACCTTAATAAATAAAAATAGCATATTCTTTAATAGAATTTATAATAACAGTATCAACAACTCAATATATATTGTATACTATTCATTAGACTCTATAGAGAAGCTCAAAGTTTCTATATTGCTATCTGATAGGAACCCAAATAAACAATTAAATCAAATCGAAAAAGCACTATATGAAATGATTTCAAAAGTTCAAATTACAATTCACCATACATCACAAATACAGCATGATATCGAAAATCAAACTATAAAAGAATTAAATGAAATGAAATCAAAACTAATTCAAGATATTGAAAATAATAATCAATCAATAAAAGAAAAAAAAGAGGAAAAGCAAAAAATTAAACTAAACTGTGAAAAGAACCCAATGCTTGTTCATTTAATCGAGGACCACTTAAAAGAATTAAGAAATGCAATAAAGAACACAATCGAAGAAACTGAAAAGAAATCTGCTCAACTTGAACATTTCAATACAATCTTTTTAAATCTAGAGAAAATCATTGAATATTTAAATCATTTATTAGCATTTTGGGCGATATTAATAAATCAATTAAATTTTTTATTTTCAAATATTAGAAAAGAAATAATAAATAAAAACAACCATAATAATAACAGTAATGATAGTGGTGATGAAGAAAGTGATAGTAATAATAGTGATGATAATAATAATAATAATAATAATAATAATAATAATAATAATAATAAAACACATAATAGTCATAAAATAAGCGAAGACCATCTAAGCAATACGGAATTAAATGATAATAATCAAGAAAAAGATGAAAATTTAGAATTTATAAAATCAATTGGTTTTTGGTGTTTCGAATTTCTATCAATAGTTTATGTAAACCATTGCGCAACCAACACAATTTTTAAAATTAAAGAAAATCATTTAGATTGGGTTAATATAAACAATATCAATTTAAAATCAGACTATTCAGCAATCATTTCAGATGTTTTTGAATTGTTAGATTACTTAAAAAAAGAGATTAAAGAAAAGGAAAAAGATAAATTAATCAATTAATTAAAAACGACGCAATAAAGTTTTTTTTTTTTTTTTTTTTTTTTTTTTTTAAAATTTTATTTTTTTCATTTTTTTTATTAATTTTTTTTTTAAATTATTTTTCATATTTATCTTTTTCGTGTCAAATTAAAAAATGTATCGATTAAGTAAAGCAAATAGACTTAAAATCGATTCTAAATCATTCCCCAAACTAAACCAAACCTCCTCTAATATCGATAGAAATTTTAATAGTAAAAAAAATAAAAACAGTAATAATAATAGTGATGAAAATAATATTGATAACAACAACGATGGTTTAGAAAACAATAATAGTCTAGATAGCGGTAGTTTAAAATTAGCAATCACAAACACAAATTCAAACAAAAGAAATAGATATAGGGAAAGCTCCGGTAGTGGTGTTTTTGCAGGCAAAACCTATAAGAAATATAATGAAAAATTTATTAAAAAGTTTTTTCAAGAAGGCGATGTCGACGAGTTTAAAGTTAGAGTAAACAAAAAGATTAAAAAAGTTTTTGGTGAAAAAGGTTTGTTAGATATAGCCAAAGAAGAAGGTGGTGATGAAGTTTTAATCAAGCCAATATTTGGCGAATACGAAACCGAATTGGAAAAATTACTAGCATTGCACTATCCAGTTATAAAATTAGATGCCGAGGATGAAACTACTTACAAGAACGATAATGAAACAATTCAAAATTTTTTAAGAAATAAGCAAGTCAATGAAGCAATAGAATTTGGTCACAAGTTATTTGAAAGAGGTCAAAATCAAAAAGGGTTCAGCGATATTCTTCTATATATATCAAAATTGGGCGATTTGGAAAATGCTGTCGATTATTTTAAATATTATATAAACCAAAACTATCACTATAATTATTTAAGCTCTACAGAGTTTGTCAAGTTTTTAAATTCAGTAAACGAGATGGATCAAAAGAATGGCGTAGATCAAATTTATCAACATATTGTTGAAAAAAATTTATTATCATTCAATCTAAGCAATATATTCACAATATTTTATTTAAAATCAAATCAAGAATCAAAGGCAATGAATATAATAAAATCAAATTTTATCAAAATAAATCCACCTGCCACTATCACCACCACAAAATCTAGTAATAATAAAAATAATAATAATAGTATTAATAATAATAACGATAATAATAATAATAAAATAGATAATAATGAGGATATTGATAAAAATAAAATGTTTACTATAAACTCACTTGAAGCCGATGAAGAAAAAGAATTTGAACAAGAGGAAATTACCAATCAAGAATATCAAGGTTATTTATCAACTTTTAATTTAAATATGAACGAATTTACAAGTATAAAACAAGTATGGGATTTTACCGGTAATGTTAAATTTATAGGTCAACCACTAAGCAAATTTCATAAAAAATCCAACGATTATTCCAATCAATTGAATTCATTAAACAAGTTGTTTTCAGCAGCTTCCGATCATTTATATGTTTATAAAGAACTTACAGATTTATTTTTAAATGATGGCTATATTGAATCGAAAGAATTAGTACCATCATTAATTATATTTATCAATAACTGCTTAAATCAAAAGAAATATGAATTGTTGGAAGAAGTCATGAAGCCATACAAAGAAGAAACTAGAAAAGAAACCAACTCTATCAAAGCTCAAATTATTGGTATGGTTCTGTTTTATAGTTCAAAACGACAAATGTTACAATTAAAGAATTATGCTCTCTCTTTCATTGAAGATAGGCAACAAAACGGATTCTTTAAAGAAATATTATTGAACACTGTTATTATATGCGCATTGGAAACCAATAACTATTCCGAAGCTATCAGATTTTCCGATTTAAAGAAGGTTGTTTTATACAGAGTGGGACTTAGCACGAAAAAATCCTATTACAATGTTGGTCAAACCGATGATTTTTTTTTACCATTTATCAGAGCAGCATCATTTAAACACGATAAACTAGAACTCGAGTTTTGGAGGGATAAAAAAAACCATATAATGAAGCTAGATTTACAAAATCCAAATCTATCGTATTTTTCAAAAGATTTAGGACCCTTTTTAGTTGAAAATACCGATAAATTATGTTTTGGAAACAACAAAATACCAACAAAAAGAAATTCAAGTACCAACTCATCTTTCTATCAAAAAATACTGTCACTAACAAGAGAATCACCAATTGAAGATAGATTAAGAGACAAAAAAGACTACATTTTCATCTCACGTTTTAGCGGTCTCCTTTTAGAAATGGACCACGATATTCTCAAATTAAGAGACTTAGGCTATACAACTGATAAGTTCTATAATGAACTGCCACTGTCCCAAGTGTTTTTCCAATGCCTTCAAAGATATAAAGAAACCTTATTGCACAATTCCTCAAGCCAAAGAGACCTTTTAAAGTTTGCTGTAAAGTTGACACCCAAATTCCGTGATTTAATTTTATCCCCTTCTGATTGGTTTAAAATTGTTCAAGCAAACTTTGATAACCTTAGTATAGTATTTCTTTTACCATACAAACACTACAGAACAACCGATTTTTATAATTTATTTTTGTTCAAGATTTCAGATTTAAAGAATCACGACAACTACAATATGGTTTGGGAGCTTGTGGAGTTCATGTTATCAAATAATATACCAATCTATAAAAGACCTTTAGCAGCATTCGCTCTCTTTGTAATGGATTCTACAGTACCATTAACAGATCGTCAAATTCATATCATCCAATCAGAAATCGAAAGAAAGAACTCACCATGGATTCAAGATGCTTTAAATATATTAAAATTAAAATTAAGATTTTTCCCAACTGGCCAGTATTCAGTTTACGATAAACTAAACCAACCTAAAAAAATCATTAGCACAATAGAAGACTTTAAAAAAACCAGTCAATTCTTTTTAAAAAAAGCATCCATCCAACTATCGCTCCATCTCCTCTCGGTTGCATATCCATACAGTGTCTCAAATTTAAAGAAATGGGACAAATTTGCTCATGACAATTACTATGGAACCACCAAATACTCTTTTGCAGTTTTTACAATTTGTAATATTTTAAAACAAAACAATCATATAAAACCACTATTAGATTATATTGAAGAAAAAGATGCCATCATTAAAAAATTAATATTCCCAGAAAAAATAGAGATATTGCAAGAATTACCAGTTGATATTCAGTTACAGATAATTAAAAAATCAATGTCACAGCATCCAAAATATCCAATCGAATTTATAAATTACATAAAGAAATTAAAAGATTCAAATTTAAATAACCTATCAAAATCACAAATCGAATTAATAGATGAAATCATTTCAAAATACGATAATATACCCGAACATCAAAGAAAAAATGATCTTTTTATAGCTTTATTTACCAAAATGTATTTATCAAAAAATAAAAATGAGTCTCACTAAATTATAAATCAATAGCAAAAACTCAAATATCTTTTTTTTTTTTTTTTTTTGTTTTCAAAAAATAACCCTGTTGTTTTAACAACCAACCACGAACACAATTTTAATAAAAATTACAGCAAGAGAAAAAACATTAAATAAATATCTTTATTTTACCAAATTATAATAAAAATAACATTAAGATTCTTTTTTTTTTTTTTTTTCAACAATTTTTTTAAAAATAAATATCCAATTTAATATTTTTTTTTTTTTTATCTTTTTTTTTTTTCATCAACAAAATATTTTTTTTTTTTTTTTTTTTGGTATTAATAAAAAAAACCATTATAATAATTTTATCATAGTCATAAAATATTTATTTATTGTATTATTAAATAATTTGTGTAAAATAGAAAAAAGAAATAAAGAAAAAAAAAAATCAAAAGAAAAGATAAATAATTAAAATAATAATGAAGTTAAAAATAGTTTTATTTTTATTTTTATTTTTATTTTTTAGTATAAAATGTGTACTTTCAGGTATTTTGCCTGTTGACGATATTGAAAATACTTTAACCGATAACGATGTTGCAATGAACAACGATGATCGAAATTGTGTTTCAACTATTATTTCTACTTTGGGTATTTTAAATAAATTTCCTGCAAATGTAGACTATTGTAAAACCTATCCACAGAATTTTGTTTGTAATAGCGATGGTTATTTGGAAAGCTTGTAAGTTGTTATATATATATTTTTAAAAAATTCAAAGATTTTTTATAAAAATTTAATTAATTTTTTTTTTTAATTTTTCATTTTTTTTTTAATAATTTAAAAAGAAATTTAGTTGGTATATACCAAACATTTTTAGATGTAGCAGGTAATCCTACTTATAACTCACTAATATGTTTCTTACATAAACCATATCCATCAGTGTATGTATTATATTAATTAAAGTATTTGTTTAATTATAATTTTAAAACAAATTTTAAATAATTTTATTATCCACAAATTATATATATTATAATATTCAGAACTTTCTCTGAAATAAAGGTTTTACCAGAATTTTTTACAAATAACCCATTTACATTATCTGATGTGTAAGTAATTTAAAATTAAAAAAAATATATAAATAAAAAATTATTTATAAATAATCAATTTAAAAGCGTTCTAGATAATTGTCAAATTGATTCTTTTCCAGAGGTTAAATCTTTATCCGGTTCTTTGTATGTATTTAATTAACAAAAGGTTTAAAATATTTTTATTTTGCTTTATTAACACGAGGATAAATTTATAAAATAAACTTTTAGAACCATTTATCCTAGTCCAACCAAGTTGATGTCATCAATGACCAATATAAATTTATATAATTATAGAAATTTAAAAAAATTGTGAGTATTTTTTTTATTAAATATCAAAAAAGAAATATTTCTTTATTAACATTAATATTTTTATAGTATTTTTTTAAATTTTTATGATATTGTTGAATCCAATTATAAATTCCAAATTTCAAATATTTACAATGGTGTTACCGCATTAAATGTACCAGAATTAATGTAGTTATAATTTTTTATAATCATAAAACTAAAAATCATTATACTCCTACACCCTAAGGGGTATTAGATTTCAGTATTTAGAATACTTATACCTATTTCTTTTTTATAGGAAAATTCAAGTTTTTTCTCTTTCATCCGCAACTGCAACAAGTTTAACTTATTTAAAAGTAAAAAGATTGTAAATATAATACAGATATAGATTTCTATAAAATAAAAATTCATATTTTAACATTTTTAATTTTGAAAAAAAAGAGAGCTTTATGCAATAACATTTATAGCACAGGATTTTGGCAATTATATTGAATCTTTTGCAAATATTGAGGAATTGTCACTAAATAAAGTACAAAATAATATAGAATATAAATTCCCCACAGGGCTTTTTTTAACTCAATTCCCAAACACTTTTAAAAAAATGTAAATACATATATTTATTTATAATTTTTTTTAATTATTTTTTTAATAATTGTATATTAACATAATTTTTTTATTTAGTGAGTTTAATTTTAAATTCTTTAATGAAGATATTCAATTAGACTTCAATGGAAACTCATTTCCAGATTTAGAATACATTTCTATAAATTCTCCAAATAGTTTGTATTATTTAAATGGTGGTTCCAGTATATTTAGAATTAAATCTCTTGGTAGGGCAAAAACATTGATGTTGAATGATGTCACAATCAACAGTGGAACAGAAATACAAAACCTCTTTAATGATTTAGAAACCTTAGGAATTTATGATAGTAATGTAGAACTGGATATCAGTAAATTTTTTAGTCTAAATAATTTAAAGAAATTATATTTAAATACCGTTGAAACAATGACCGGCTCTGTAACTAGTAGAATTTGTAGCTATAACGATGTTACCATCCAAAATACTGAATTGATTGGAGATTTACCAAGTTGTGTCTATTGCTATTTAACAGACCAAATTTCAAGTTTCCAAGGTAATTCATTTTCAAATTATAATCCACCAGCTTATGGAATCCCCAAATGCAACAGTATTGTACCAAATTTTAGAAGAGATTCAAACAAACTATATCTTTTTGGTTCTGACTTAGGCTTTAATACAGATGCTTTTACAACAGTTCCACCCCTTATTTTTAATCTTGATGTTCCTAGCAAATCTTTTTACACTACCGATCCTGTTTCAGATGTTGTTGAAGTTTATTTTGAAATCCCTAATCAAAGCTTCTTGCTTGACTCCTCTTTATCATCACCTACAATAGATAGAGTAACAGTTTCAAGTGATGGAGATGGTTACTTAACATTTTTTGGATACTACTATACTTATAATATCTCAACTACCTCTGCCAAAGTCGGAAATGAAGATTGCATTCCAGTATTTACAAATTTTACTCATTTCATATGTCAGGTTAACAATTATGATTCAACAAAATTAAATATTGCTTCAACATTATATATTGATGGAAGATATAAAAATGTCCCAATTTCAATGACCCCAGGTTTAGAAAACAAATATTTAACTTGTTCCCAAGATTGTAGTAAAATTTCAAACAGTCAATGTAGTCGTTTTACAGGTACATGCATTCCTATTTTAAATATTGAAACTGTATCACAAAATATCAAAAGTCTTTCTAATGTAGCAATAACTTTAATGGGTTATTTTGGTACAGAAAAAGGCGATATTAGTGTAACTATTGGTGGTAATCAATGCTTTATTCAATCATATAGTACAAATAATGTACAATGTACGATTTCTTATAGTAGCAACCCTGATTTGAAAGTTGTTGTTACTCAGTATGGATACCAGTCAACTTTTTCCACAAACTTTTCATTTATATTAAGAGAATGTCCAAATGATTGTACAGATAGTTCTCATGGTACCTGTGATTTAAATACAGGTATTTGTAGATGTATAGATCCCTATGGAGGAGATAATTGTTTAAACATCATACCTATAATTTCATCAATCGCCCCTTCAAATGAATTAGGTGGCCAGGTAACAATAACTGGGAAATTTGGCACAATCGGTCAAGATTTTAGTGTTAAAATTGGTAAAGATATTTGTCTAGTCACAAGTGTAACCCCTTTATATGCAATCTGCGAAGCACCACCAGGAACTGGTTCACTCCTGCTAACAATTGTAAATAATGGAATGATGGCAACATCCAGTTACACGTATGCTTTTGATTGTATATCAATAGGGGGTTGTAATAATGGAATTTGTGTTCATATGGATAAATGTCAATGTAGGGTAGATTACCACGGCTCAACCTGTTTAATAAAACAACACTATGTTTCATCTCTTACACCAACCACAATCGAAGGTGGTTTGGTAATTGCATTTGGTGATTTTGGTGATTCTCATTCAAATTTATCTATCCTTATAGGTTCCGAAATATGTTCAAATCCAAAAGCAAATAAAACCACTATTGAATGCACAATAGGTCCAGGAACAGGTTCAAAATCTTTTACAGTTAAACAAAATGATTTAATATGGTCGCATATTAATTTCTATAGCTTTATCAATCTATTTAAATCTTGTCCAAATAACTGTACCTCAATTGATAATGGACAATGCAATAACTCAACTGGTCAATGTAAATGTATTGAAAATAAATGGTCAGGTTTTGATTGTAGCTCACCAATTTTAGATAATGGTGGGGGTAATGAACAACCAGGCTCCAGCTCAAATGTTGATACAGATTCAGGTATTACACAAATATCAAACCAAGATACCAAATTTAACATTTCAATTGTAAAACTAATAGAGCTTGATACTGTAAGCCAAAAAACAGTTCGAGAATTTGAATTAAAAAAAACCTGGGACTCTTTTTTAGCAAAAAATACAAGTGATGGTAACATTCAATACATTTTTAATCAAACATTAGGAAACAATACCGCAAATATTATTTATAAAATCGAAGAGGTTAAAAAGAGTAAAACATTTGAATTTGCAGATGAAGAATTTTCATTACCCAATGACTCAATCAAAATTACAATAGAGATTAATAACTTTCCATTTTTAAGTGTTTTAAATTCTTTACAGCTACAAATGGTCTCATCTGTAGAAAATGAAATCTCTGCAAATAAATGTAATGAAAAAGAATCATCATCAGAAAATATTCAAGATCAAGCAACTAGCTATGTCAAGATTAGTAAAGATAACAAATTGCTCTATGGTAGATTTATGAATAAAATTATTAGTGATAGTAGAGTAACCTTTATCAGTAGTGAAATTGTTTCAAATACATCAAACTCTGTTATTGTTGGTTTAAATCTTCCACATTGTGTTGATTCTTGTATTATAGATCCAGGTAAGAATTTTCTTTATATTTTTATTGTTTGCGATGTTTTCTTATATTTTTATTGTTTGCGATTTTTATTTTTTATTAATAATATTTTTATAAATAGATTTTTCTGTTCTTATCGCTCCAAACTTCCAAAGTTCTTGTAAAAATGATTCAAAAAAGACAATGATCATTGCTGTATCAATAGTAGTTCCACTTGTAGTAATTGCTGCCACTATTATAGTGTTTGCCGTAGTTTATAGAAAAAACCGTATTTCAATTAAAGTCAAAACAATGAAACTTCGTAGATTTTAAATAAATTAATAAATAAATATTTTAAATAGTTTTATTAATGTTTTTCTAAATCTATTGTTATTGTGTTATTACTATTTGTTTCTAATTCTAACATTGTCATTTCTGATTGTTTCAATTTTTCTAAAAACTCTTTTCTTCTTTGAACTTTATTACGATAATAAAGATAACAGATTCCACATGCAACCACAAAAAAGAAGCAACCCAATGTGATTCCTACAATATTTAAACTAGTCAAACCTTTTTTACCACTTGAGCAAAAAGTATCACCATCATTATTTGCAGAGTGATCAACGATGACTGAATAATCTGGGTCTATCACAGCACTAAATTGGAAATAAGGTATATTTATACCAATAAAAGATTGTAAACTATTTTCATTATCTGCCGAGTCCATATCTTTATCTAAAATCTGATTTGAAATTGAAATAATTTTGGTTTCATCCAATACTGCTCTCTTGATAAATCTTCCATATAATGATTTACCTCTAATTTTTAATCTGAGGTAATCGTCTGAAGTTTGATTATTAAATTCTTTATATGAACAATCATCGATATTTGACTTTACTGTTGACAGCATTACCAATTGAAGTGAGTTTAATGTGGATTCAAATCCATATTCGCCAATTGTTATTGTGTACTTTAATGATGATGGATTCATTTCAACAACTTGATTTGCAAAGTTGATAGTTGCTGCAGATTCAAACCATTGCAATGTAACATTTACTATTGTGTTTATTTTGTTATTAGTTATATTGGAGATATATTGATAAGCAGAAGAAGATAAATTTGTTCTGTGCCAAATTTCAAATTGGTATTTCTTAACTGGCTCACTTTGATAATCTAATTCTCTTAACTGGACAACTGAAATAATACTCTTTAAAACATCATCCTCTTCATCTACCAAAATTGTTGTTGATGGCTCCTCTAAAGATGGTTCTGGTTTTGGGATTACGATAATCTTTGAACTACAGTCTGACCCAATCCAAGGTGATTTACAAATACATTGATTATTAATACATTCACCCTTGGTGTTTCCACCACAAATATTTCCTGAACTATCTTTTTTACATGTAACTGTTGGTTTTTGGGGATTTGGTGGGATATCAATTGATATAGTTGGACTTACTGTGAAAGTATTGGATTGTTCACCATTTGAAGAAGTTATTTTAATAGTGAATGCACTTTTAGTTGGTTTAATGTTTGGAATAATTAAAGATGTTGAAAATATTTTTGATGGAGCAATTATTTGGCTGCTCCTATCACTATATGATACTAAAACTGATTTTGCATTATGCAAAACAATACCATCTATTCTTAATGAACCTCCATTAGATGTTATTTTCCCAGTTGAAGTAATTAATGGTGATGTTAAAGTACTATTTGATGTGACTATATACTTTCCTATTTCACCTGAAGTTTTTCCAACCATGGTACCACGTCCACTTGAGAGGCCATATAATGAATACAAGATACCATCTGGGTAACCAAAACCCAAGGAAACCTCATAAATACCAGTAAAAAAGCATACTTTATTTGAAGGATCTGTGCAGTTCACCAAAGATAGTGGAACTTGAATTATATTTGGGTTTAAGAAGGAGGAAAGATAAATTGTTGGTGGGCTATATATATTAATAGTTGATTGACATTCGGCATGTAGATTGAATTGAAGCTTTCTATTCGTACTGAAGACATTTATACTATATGCTGAAACATCTAAAGACATAATTGAAGGTGATATTGGGTCATCGGTTGGTTTTAATGTACAAATATATTGATAAGATAAATTATATAATAAAGTAATGTTGAAAGAAAAAGGATCTGTATAAGCTAATTTATTAATTTTGCCTTGAATCTTGAAATGGGAAAGATTATCACCAGAATCTCTAAAAAATACTTCAAAGATTTGGAAAATATTAAAAGAATCAGGTGTTTGGCCACAAGATGTTGCAGGCACTTGGACTTTAATTTGATGCAAACCTTCGTAAATATCACCTACGATAATAGTATCTTTTGATAATGTATAATTATATTTTGAATAATCGTTTAAACTTCTAACCAAAATATAACCATCTTTAAAACCATTTATTGAATCTGATATTGTTATATTCCAAACTATAAAATCGTAATCTTGACCAGGTAAAAGTTTCATTATGAGATTTTTTATTATTGGCCCTTGGAAATCTGTTTCTAAAATTATAAGAAAAAAAAAATATTAATTTTTTATTATTATTTCATTTTTAATATTTTTCTTTTAACTACTTACTAGAGGATACTATAGTCAATTGATATTCACTTGGTAGATCTTGATTATAAACAATACTGTACTTATTATAGGTGATTGATAAAGAATATGATAAAAATCCAGCTATAATATTTCTTGGGATGAAAAATTCGATAATATATAAACTGTAGTCCCTGTTCCATTGTCCATAATAATTTTGGATATTTAAGTCTGATGAATCAAAGGTTTTATGGAAATAAGATTGCTCAGTTACATCCTTTATAACTGATAACATTGGCTCGTAATTTTGAACCCCATCTTTAAACTCTAAAAACATTAAATTCCAGCCATCATTATTTGTTACATTCATTTTATTATTTAAAAATGATATTTTTTTTATATTTGATAACATATCAAAACCTAAAATTTAATTTTAAAAAATAAAATTTTAATAAAAAAAATTATAAAAAAACTGAGGATTATTTAAATTGTATTTACCTTTTAATGATTCTAATAAAGGATCGGCGAGAAATCTTGAGAATGGCGATAATTTCAATACTTCATTATACTGAATAGACTGTTCAAATTCTTCTATTCCGTTTGATACTAATAAAATCAATGATTGGGATTGAAAATCTATAAAACTATCCAAATAACTGAATTTAAATTCAAAGATACCATTTTGAAGTGTTCCTTGAGCCAACATTGTATTACCATATGAATTGGGTGTTAATCTTAATAGTCTAAGACCATTTGAATCCGACACACTTACTCTTAACATAAAATATGATTGATCCAATGTAACCCAATCTATTTTATTTATTGATAAATAGTTTTTTCCTATTTTAAATATTTATAATTACAAAAATTTTAATGTTAGTATTTTTTTATTTATAATTATGATAAAGTATTTTAAATTTACCTATATTTGGTACACCAGTAACAATTATAAATAAGCTATCATTAGATAAAAAATTAATTGGATAATTAGAACCTTTGTAAAATGGTACTGATACTTTAATATTATAAAAGGCGCTTGAAGGAGAACTGTAAGTAATGGCATATGGGGAATCCATTTGAAAATCCATATTTTGATTTTTAATACTACCTAAATAGAAACTAGTTATATAATTATTCAGATTATTTTGTACAAATTGTGCTTCAAAATAATAATCCCCAGTGTTAGTATTTTTATTCCCTAGTAATTGGCCAACATTATGATAATCTAAATAAAAGGAGAAACTATTAGGAATTGTTTTCTTTGATTTTTTTTTTTTTTTCACTTACTTGTTTGAGACACCTCAAAGCTATATGAATCTAAAAAATATGCTAAAGAGAAGCTATCTTCATTTGGTCTTTCAACAGTTTTAAATAAAAAATAATCGAATCCATCTATATATTGAATTTTTGGTTTTCTGACAATATCGGTATCGTTTGCTTGGGTGTAACTAAAAGAAAATGCTGGAGGAATATAAAAATTTTGGTGTTCATATCCAACTTCAAAATAAAAAACAGGTAACTGAGTTTGGCTGGAACAATTAAACTCTTTAGGTGGAGTTGTATATGAACCATATGTTAAGCTGCCTGAACCTAAATTAAAAAAATTAAAAAAATTAATTTAATTCTTTTTTTTTTTTTTTTTTTTTTTTTTTTAATATTTACCTTTATATGGTGACTCAAGAATAAGATTATATGGATTACTGAGACCTAACTGAAGAACCCAATCATTTTTATATGCCTTTGGAATTTCAAAAAAAACAATATCGAATGTGTTATCATTGATTTTATTTAATTTGCAATTAGTACCCCCATTACAATTATATTCGATGACACTTAATTCAATATTTGGAATGATGCTTCCAATAATTTGGAATGTTGCTTTATATGAAGAATGGTGATAAAAAAGTTTAGAAATGATTTTATATTGTAATTTTGAAAACTCTATTGCTATTGTTAAAAACATATGAAAAAAATTAATAATTGAGTTTTTATTAATAAAAAATGATAAATTTTGTTTATTTCTTACATTTACATGAATATCCTATTTCAAAAATAGTTGGACCTGGAGTGATAGTTAAAGAAATGACACCACTACCAATAGGTAAATTATTTGCATTAACTCTATATAATCTTTCTTCTTTTTGATTGGGAGTTAATGCAAACCCACTTGGAGAGACTTCTATTTCTGAATTTGGTGGAATTTCGATGTCGACTACTAAAATACAAGTACTTGAACTTGTATAAACTAAATTCGATTCTGTTGACCCATTTATTAGTTTAATATCTTGCGATGCTACAAATAAACTGTTATTACAAATATATATTAAATTTAAAAAAATAAATGAAAAAATTAAAATTATTTTCATTTTTTTTTAAATCGGAAAAAAAAAAAAAAAACAAAAAAAAAAAAAAATTTATTTGATATATTTATAATATATATAATTATATTTATTGATATATTTCTCTTCTCCAAAAATAAAAAAACAAAATATTTTATATCAAAAAAAAAAAACAATAAAAATATTATTATAAAACCTATTTCTGAAAAAAAAAAAAACTATTATTATAAAATTTTTATAAAAAAAAATAAATAAAAAATCTTTTGGGATTGGTGGTGGTGAAAAAAATTGGAGTGGGGTATTTTTATTTTATGATTCTTCGTCAGGTGAGTGTTCATCACTAGACTGATGATCATTAAAAAAAGTATGACGATTTTTTAAGGGTGTATTATTGTTATTATTGTTATTATCATCATCACCATCATCATTACATAAACTATTGTTTATAATACTACTGTTCATAATATCACATTCTAAACCATTACCACTATCTAATAGTTGTTCGATTTCAAATGTGCCTTCATTTTTGCTTGTCCCATTTTCTAAATCATCTGATGTAATTTGTTTTTCTTTTTCATTTGAGTTGCCACCGTTATTTGCATTATTATTATTATTGTTATTTTTATTATCTTTGTCTTTGGCTTTATCTTTTTTAATTGGTGGGATTATAAATGTCTCTGGAATTTTCAAATCAAATGCTTTAAATTTACCAACATTATTGAGATGTTCATTTTCCAAACGGAAGACTATATAAAAAAAAAAATTTTAAAAAATTAATATTGATTATTGATTAGTGTTGAGTGTTGGGTGTGTTAGAGTGTGGTGTGGTGTGGTGTGGTGTGGTGTGGTAATGTAATGTAGATGTGATATTGTTAAAATATATAATAAATTAATAAACAATACTTACAATTCCATTGAAATCTTCTTGTAACTTCAATAACGGCAGTAGCTAAAACTATTAATTCCTTGGTTCTTGATGAGAGAGCTTCAAAAGATACATTAATGGTCCAAGAACCTCTCATTAGAGTGTTTGTAATTAAAGCGAAATAATAAACCCATTTATGTCTATAAAAGAGGTGGTCACGGAGTAAGAAATTACGAGAATGAGTTCTAAAGATACCCCAATCCATTAAGAAATCCCAACATAATGAATAAATGGTACTGACGATAGATATTATAATCCATAGTGCTAAAGTACCATTTTTTTGTGCTTCGTTACTTGTAATTTTACTATTTGCAATTGAACTGGTGACTGTGGCTAAAATGGTTAATGAATATTTACCAAAATTCATCATATGAATATTTTGTTTTGTATCTTTGAAACGACGAAGTGATTGAAGAGCACGCAATAGTGGTGGAATGGATACTAGGCACGGTTTGACATAAGGATTAATTCTCCAACAAACATCACCTCTTGTCCATAAATCTGAAACGAAAAAGCATATGACATACTCTAAATCGCTCAGTACAATTGAAAGTGATGTTAGTTGATCACCGAAAAAGAAGTCCTTGAATTTAACTGGAAGGAATGGAGCCGAAAAAATTCTACCAAAAGTATGAATTAACCAGAATCTACTTGGTCTAAATATTATATTAAATGGACAAAATACGATACATAATATTATTACGATTAATAAAAATGGGAATAGTATCGGCAATTTACTACCAATCATATGTATACTAAGATAAATATATAAAAACAAACTTAGTGTCCATAAGAATGTTAAACCACTTGCTAACTATATATTTCAAAAAAGATAATAATTAATATTTTTTTTTTTATTATTTTTTTTTAATTTTTTTTAATTACTTACAAATAAAATATGATAATGAGTTATATTCGTCCTAGCATCCCAGCCTAAAATTAAAAACAAATTTATATTTTTACCACTACAGACATAAATTAATATACCGAAATACCATAGCAATAATATTGGTATACCAATCATACGATGTAACATGAACATTGATAAGAAAGCAACAGGAGTTGGCGAATCGAAATAGATAATTGAAACTTGGTTGATCATATAACGTACACAAAATATGAATAGAACCAAGCTCATACCTGACAGTCCACCAGTTAAGAACACTACTTTGGGAGGAGCATGATAATCTTTTGGTACACGTAATTTAGCCATTGCATTTCTTCTATTGCCATGCTTGAATGAATTTGTATAAAGTGCTTCGATTTCACGCTCCACAACACTTAACTTTTTTGATTTATTAAAATATTGTTGAGCTACACCTTTCATACCTTCTACTGATCTATCTGCTTGTAAAACCTTATCATACTTTTTAAAGATTTTTCTGAATGCTATATGATTTAGTGATGTGTATTCTTTTAAAACTTGAATTTCTCTATAATTTTCTTCCAATGCTCTCTTTAAGGATCTTCTAATTTTACCTAATTTCAAACTACCAGGATTCCAATATGTTTCAGCACTTGCAGCACTTGCAATAGCTTTACCAGCGATGGTTACTGGACCATTTGATGATGTAGTTGAGCATGGAGAAGAAGAGCCTTGTCTATCAGCGCCACCAGTTTCATTGTCATTACTTTCATTTAAACCAACGCTATTTCTTTTTCTTAATGATGGATGATGAAATAAATGAGTAAATCTTTGTCCTGCAGTTCTTGGTGTAAACGGCTCTTTACCACTAGGACCACCAGCTATACTAATATCTTTGAATGCTTTTGACGAATATTGTTTACCAATTTCATTCATTGCGATAACTTTTTCTTTGATGATATTGAATTGATGTATAAATTCAGTTTCTTGTTCTTGAAAGAATGAATTAACCTTATCAAACTCCTCTTGTAACATTTGGTCAAATTTCTTTTCTTCTCTTTCGACATTATTCTCTCTAAAAACTACTGGTTGTGATGATAATAATGTTGGTGATCCAACCGATATAATTGTAGCCGCTGGTGTAGTTTGTGGGGTTGAAATAATTGATCCTGATGCTGAATAGGGTGAACTATTATTACTACCTAATGGTGGTGATGATAATAATAATGGTGGTATTTTATTATTATTATTATTATTATTATTATTATTATTATTATTATTATTATTATTATTATTATTATTATTATTATTATCTACATTGGATAATGATGATGATGCTGCTGTTGTTGCTGTTGGTGGTGATAGTGTTGTCGATTTATTTATATTTTGTAATGGTACTTCATATATTTGTGATTGTTTAGGTGATAATGATAGTGATTGTTTTATTCTACTATTTATTGATTGTGTTGATTGTTGTTGTTGATCCAATGCACCTGCTGATATAAACAGCTCTTCCTCTGTTTTTGCTCTTTTAATTGCTTTTATTTGTTTTTTAAATGATTTGTAAAAAACATATTTTTTTCTCCATTCTGAAACTTGACGTCTTTGTAAATATTTCCCAAACTTCATTTTATATTTTTACTATAATTATTTTTTAAATTACAAAAAGTATTGATTAAAATTTACTTTTTGTAATGTTATTATTATTTTTATTATTAATATTAAATGATTATATGACTTTAAAAATTACTATTAATTATATTTAACTTTTCTTATTTATATAAAAAAATAATATTTAACCTATTTAATTAATGTAATAAAATTTAATATTTTTTATGTGGGTGTTCGGGTGTTATGTATGTGGGTGAGATAAAATTTAAAGTTGTGTATCGTCTGTGTTTTGTAATTTTACAAAAAAAAAATATATTATTATTATTATTATAAAAATTATTTATGCAAATTAAGTGTAATTTAAATAAAAATGGATTTTTTTTTTTTTCTTTGTTTTTTTTTTAATTTTTTTTTGAAATTATTTGAAAGGGTGCTGACAATTTTTTTTTTTAGCGGTAGAAATTTCAAAAAGTGATGTGTATTGGTTATAAAATATTTTTGTGATTGGTATGATTTTGAAATAGATTTTATCTGTATATTTATATTTATATTATTAGTTTATTTTTATTATATTATGATATTTGAGGCTACTACAATAATATATGTGATTTTATTATTATGTATAAATGATCATATTAATTATAAAAGGTAATACTAATTGTTTAAATAAAAAATAAAAAAAAACAAATCGGAATGAATAAAATTTTTTTTTTTTTTTTAACTTTTTTTTTTTTAAAAATTTATTAGTCTAAAATTTTAGATGTGGGTGTGAAATTGATTAACTGTGATTGTTTATTTAGTGTGAAATTCTAACGAGAATTTCTGACCCCTATAAATATAAATTTTATATAAAGATATACATTTATCTTTGTTAAATAAAATAGTTTTAAAAAAAATTTTAAAAAAAAAAATAAAAAATAAATTAAAAAAAAATATTTTAAAAAAAAATTATTTTAAAAAATAAAATAAAATATTTTAAATAATTATAATTAGCACAATTTTTTGACAGCTTTTTCATTTTTTTTATTGATAATTATACACCTTTTCAATAATTTTATAAATAACCCAGGTTATACAGATAGAGCCATCAAATTATTTATAATAAAATGATCCAACTAATATTATTTATTTAAAATAAAATCAAACATAAAAAAAGTAATGCTTTAAATAAAAAAAAAAAAAAAAAAAAAAAAAAAAAAAAAAAAAAATTAACTTAAAAAGCAGTATTTTTAATATTTAAATCCCCATTTCGGTTTTTTTTTTCTTTTTTTTTTTTTTTTTAAAATTAAAATTAAAATTCTTTTTTTTTTTTTTCAAGATATTTAAAAGTTTTTCTTTTTTTTTTTTTTGTTTCTAATATAAGTTTTTTTTATTTTTATTAATAATTTTTTTTGTTTTTATTATTTTTTTATTATTGTTTTATTATTGTTTAAATTTATATATAATTAATTTTATGTATAAATAATAAATTTGTAATAATATGAATGGTAATAATAGTATAAATGATGATATAAATAGTAATAATACTTTTAGTAACAATACAATCAATAATAATACAATCAATAATAATACAAATAATATTGGTAATAATAATAGTAATAATAAAACATCCACAGATATAAATATTAGAACTAGTTTTGATGATTTAGATTTTAACAATAAAGATCCATTGTTTTTTTCAAGTGGTAACGAATATATGTACAGAGCAGACCATGGAGAAGATGATAATGAGGATGATGAAGATATGGGAAGTGGATTCATAGGTGGTAAAAAGAAAAAGAGGGATGACTTTTTAATTGATGGATTTGATGAAAATTCAGAAGAAATGATTCCAAGAGATAAAAAGAAAGAGGGATTGTTTGGTTATCACAAGAATGGAAATAAGATTATGATTTTTGTGGGTTTGGTTTTAATAACATTTTTACTCTGCAGTGTTGCATTGGTATATTATGCAGGAAAACACCCAAAGTTTATAAATACAGATACCGATATTAAACCAACTATAGTAATTTCAATAGATAGCTTCAGAGCAGAATATTTAGAGCGTGGCTTAACACCAAATCTTCAAAAATTTATAGATGATAACTCTTTTAGAGCTCAGTATACAACTGCCCAATTTCCATCGAAAACATTCCCAAATCATTATTCAATAGCAACAGGTTTATATCCAGAAGATCATGGTATTGTTTCAAATCATATGTACGATCAAAATACCAATAAAATTTTTAATGCAGGTCATCCAGAATCATTAGATCCATCATGGTGGTGGGGTGAACCAATCTGGGTAACCGCCAAAAAGTCTCAAATTAAAACTGCATGTTATTTTTGGCCAGGATGTGGTATTAAGATCAAAGGAGTATACCCAGAATTAAATATAGATCCATTTAATCAAACAGTATCATCAGACGAAGTCTTTAAACAACTTTATCAATGGAGGGATAGTGCAGATTCGAAAAATACACCTCCAACATTAACAATGGCCTATGTACACGAAGTTGATGATGCAGGTCACAGATATGGTCCAAATAGTAAGGAGGTTAACCAATCCATTTCATCAATGGATAAAAGCATCGGTGGTTTAATTGATTTATTGAAAGCATCAAATCTCTATAATCAAACCAACATTATTTTTGTATCAGATCATGGTATGATCGAAATACCATCATCTAAATATATTTATTTGGATGCTTTAGACCCCTTAATCTCAACTAAATTCTTTACACCAGATGCAATTAGCAGCAAAGGATTTTCTAACCCCTCACCAATCATTTCGATTTTCCCAAATGATACAAGGTAAGTTTTTTTTATTTTTTTTTTTTTTAAAAATTCCTTTTTATTAATTTATTTTATTTTTTCGAAAATATAGATACTCTGAAGATGTCCTTTATAATATGTTCAAAAATATCAACAATGAAAATTTCAATATTTATAAAAAAGATGATATTCCAAAAGAGTTTTTCTTTAATTCAAAATTCAACAGTAGAATTCCACCATTATTAGGTGTTGCAAAACCAGGTTATAGTATTATCATTAATAAAAATAATATAGATTCATTTACAGAATTAGGTAATCATGGATATGACCCATCAAACGTCGAAATGCATTCAATATTTATTGCTCGTGGTCCAAATATTAAATCAAGTGGTGCCGAAGATAACGAAACCACAACAACATTAAAAACATTTAAAAACATTGAAATTTATAATTTGTTAGCAAAACTTATAGGTGTTGATTCAAAAAATGTTGCCCCCACAAATGGAACATCTTTATTAACCGATAGTTTATATATAGCACCAAAAAAATAAAAAATAAAAAATAAAAATAGCTTTTTAGTACACACCAATCAGAAATTCTAAAAAATATATTTAAATCTATTCTATATTTATCAATTATTTTTAATACATCAATTATATGTAATAAATAAAATATTTATTTTTATTTTTTTATTTTTTATTATTTTTTTTTGTGGGTTAAAAAAAGTGTGTTTATTTTTTTATTTTTATTCATTATTTTATTTATATTTAATAATAATGAATGATAATAGGAAGGAAATAGAGGATAGAAATGGGTATTTAGATAGTGAAGGAAGAGATAGGAATAGTGATGATTCTTTAATAGAGTTTGACAATAACGATGAACATGAAAAGAAAAGAGGGTTCTTAAATGACCATAAAAATGGAAATAAAATAATGTTTTTTATAGGTTTATTGGTTTTGGCAGTTATTGTTTTAATAGTGCTATTAGTTTGTTTTATCGGAAGGCATCCAAGATCTAATTCAACAATAATATATCCAACTATTATAATTTCAATAGATAGTTTCAAACCAGAGTATTTAGAGCGTGGTTTAACACCAAATCTTCAAAAATTTATAGATGATAACTCTTTTAGAGCTCAGTATACAACTGCACAGTTTCCATCGAAAACATTCCCAAATCATTATTCAATAGCAACAGGTTTACATCCAGAAGATCATGGTATTGTTTCAAATCATATGCTTGACCCTAAAACTGGAAAGATATTTAATATAGGTGAACCTGAATCATTAGATCCATTTTGGTGGTGGGGCGAACCAATCTGGGTAACTGCTAATAAGTCTCAAATTAAAACTGCATGTTATTTTTGGCCAGGATGTGGAGTTAAAATCAAAGGAGTATACCCAGACTTAAATGTAGATCCATATAATCAAACAGTATCATCAGACGAAGTCTTTAAACAACTTATTCAATGGAGGGATATTGCTAATAATAGTACAGAATCGAAAAACACACCTCCGCCATTAACAATGGCCTATGTACATAAAGTAGATGACAAAGGTCATAAATATGGACCCAATAGCAAACAGGTCAATGATGCAATTTTAGCAATGGATAAGAGTATAAGTTCTTTTTTAAATCAATTGAAAACATCTGGGTTTTACGATTTAACCAATATTATTTTCACCTCAGATCATGGTATGATAGAAACTCCACCAAGCAAATATATTTTCCTTGATGAAATAACTTCTGATGATTTAATAAGTTCAAAATTTTTCTCACCAGACACAAATAATAGTCTAGGTTATGTGGTACCAGCACCAATAATTTCAATATTTCAAAATGATACAAGGTAGGTAGTATTAAATACACACATTTTAAAATAATAGTATATTAATTTTTTACATTAGATACTCTATTGATTATCTATATAATGAACTAAATAGAAATAAAAGCGAATATGTCACTTTTTATAAAAAAGATGATATACCAGAAGAATTTTTTTTTAACTCAAAATCCAATGACAGAATTCCACCTCTATTGGGCTTTGCAAAACCAGGTTATAGCATAGTTGTTGATAAAGAACTTTTGACACCAACTCCACCAGAATTAGGTAATCATGGATATGACCCATCAATTGTAGAAATGCATTCAATATTTATTGCTCGTGGTCCAAACATTAAATCAAGTGGTGCCGAAGATAACGAAACCACAACAACACTAAAATCATTTAAAAACATTGAAATTTATAATTTATTAGCAAAGCTTATAGGTGTCGATTCAAAAAACTCTGCACCAAATAATGGAACGTCTTTATTAATAGATAAACTGTATAAAAAAAAATAACATAAATTATATTATTTAATTTTAAAAAAAATAATAATCTTTATTTTTTGTTTTTTTTTATGATTCTTTTATATATTGGTATTGGATATTTGATTTTGGCAATCGAATATTGTTCTTGTGATGGTTTTTGATCAAACTTACCTGGTTAGCAATCACATAGGACTTTATATTTCTTTAGTGGTAATGGCAGCACACCCTCTATTGATAAACTCACCTTGAAACCATTTTTCATAAGGACTAGTATGATAGTTTAATTTGCGTTTATTTTTGAAATTGAAACTTTATTATTTTTCATTTTATTAAATTTAATAAATCAAATTAAATAATATTATTTAAAAATAAATAATATATTATAAAAACAAAAAATTTAAAAAAAAAATACAAGACAGCCAATATTTTCTTTTTTATTATTTTTTAAATTTAAAGAACACAAATAATTGAAAAAATTAAAAATTTTTATGGATTATATTAAAAAGTAAATAAAATTATTTTCTTTATATAAATTTTTTTATTTTATTTTATTTTATTTGGATAATGATGTTAACTATTTTAATTTCATCGATTTTAATATACGAAATATTGAGTGAAACGATTTAATTATTAATTTCATCGCCATCATGGTTAATCGAGTTACATGTAGTCAACAGATTCTCGGGAATTAGATATATCGAATGAATAGTTATATTGATTAAATATTCATCTGGAATATATGCATTGGAATTGGAATCGGAATCGGAATTGGAATCGTAATCATTATCGTAATAGTTTTTTTTCTTTTGACATTCTGATTCTAATCATGATTATGTCTATTTTATTTTTATCTATATTATCTATACTGTGTAATATTCTATTAAAAGTATTATTTTGTTTTTATTATAACTATTGCTATCTATTGTTTTTTTTTGATTAAATATTTTTTTTTTTTTTTTATATTTTTAGTTTTTTATATTTTAAAAATCTACACCTAATACAACAAAATTCATTAAAAAAAAATTAGTATTGTTTTTATTACAAAAATTTAAAGTAAATAAACTTACCACTTAGTATCTCTTCAACTGTTTTCACAAATTAATTGTGATCCATGGATTGAATCATCTGAATTTTAAAAAATCAATTAATTTACCAAACCACTTCTCATTAATGTTGTTTAAACTATAAGAATTAAAAAAATGGCATTCAATACAAAGGAATTCTATTTTAAAAATTATTAGTAAGATTTTAATGCAATTTGTAATCTAAAGTAAATAAAACTTACTAATGCCTGAGACCTTAGCACCAGGTACATAACCATTAAAACTTCCACAGTTTTTGCAAACCAATGGTGATTTAGAAGTTGAGCCAAATGAAATTAAAAACTCGATTATTTGGTCAAACCACCATTCTAAAGTAATAAAATAAATAGTTAATATAATATCATCAATCTATAACAATTTTAAAATTAAACTTACTATTTTTTGAGTTTTGTGGAGTTTTTTGTAATTTTTGAACATTTTGATTTATTATTTGTGGTTTTTCTGGTTGCTGTGTTTTTTGGGATTTTCCTGGTTGCTGTGGTTGTTGAAGTTGTTGTGGTTTTAGATTTTCTTGTTGAACTCTATTATTACACTCTAAAAAATAGTTAGTCAATATATCACTATTATTTTAATATTTATTAATACTATCTGATACCTACTCTTTTTTTTTAATATATTTTCATATTTTAAAATAGTTTCAAAATCAGTTTCTACTTTTATATCATTTAATATTTTTTCAAAACCAATTATTAAATTATTTAATTTATTTTCATAGAATCTAATTAAAGATCCAGAAAAAAATCTATATAATGTTGATACAATATAAAATCTAAATAGTATAAATGTTAATACCAATATTAAATAAAAAATAATATATATTTAAAATGAACAACTTACAAAATTGAGAATAATATACATAATAAATAACACCATGAATTCTCAAACATAGTGTTAGATGAAAAAGATTTATAAATTGAAATTAAAATTAAAAAAATTTCAATAATAAAACTAAAGAAAATAAAATTGGAAAAAAAGCTATTATGGAATTCCTTTGATTTTTCAATTTTGATTTCCATATTGGAAATCTTGGATTCCATTTCTAACATTTTTTCAAAATTGTTATTCTGAATACAAATAAAATTATAGTTAATATTTTTTTTTTTAATGTAAATTATATAAAAGATAATTACTTTTGAAAAAAATAGACCCATTTTTTTTTAATTTATATGTTGAATACAAATGGGTAAAATATAAAATTTTATTTACAAAAAAAAAAAATATGTACAAAAAGATAATATAAAATAAATATAAATATAAAAAAAAAAATATTATAAAAAGCAAAGAAAAAAAGATGGCTGGGTTGGAAACGATACGAAAAAAATAAGATGATTGAAATGGAGACAAAAAAATTGAAGCTTGAATGGAAAAAAAAATTAAATGAAAAATAAATTTAAATTTTTTTTTTTAAAAATTTATTAAATTAAATTTTTTTTTTTCATATTTTAAATTATTTTAAAAATAATTTTTTTTTTTATATTTTTTTTTTATATTTTTTGTTTTATTTATATTTTTTTTTAATTTATTTTGATTTATTGATTTTTTACTTAATGATTCAGCAGCTTGTGATATCAAGTGATTATGAGATAAAAAAATTGATGAAATGAGTTAATCTTTTAATTTATTTTTTATTTATTTTATTATATAATTTTATAATATTACTATAAAACATGAAACTATTATTTATATATTTTGTTTTTTAATTTATTAATTATTTTCATTTAATTTATTATATTTTTACTTTTTAATTTTTTATTTTAAATTTTAATTGGATAATCTGTCAGATATAAAAAAAAATGTAATACACGCCTTTTTATTAATTAATATTTCAATACTATCTTCTATTTCATTTTCATCACTACTATCTTCTTCTTCTTCATTTGTATCATTGATAAAATCTTTTCAGCAACCCAAATTATATCTTGAAAAATGAGTATCTTCTTCAATTTCTTCATCTTCACTATTACAACCATGTTCTTTTCTACTGAGTTTATTTGTAAATTTAAAGTGTATAATACTAGTAATAAGCATCCTGTTGCTTTTGAAGGCTACTCTTCCAAATACCACTGAAACAACCAAATCTCTTGAGAATACAAAAACATTTTCAATAACCATTCTCTTTCTTTTTCTAAATGAGTTTTCTAGCTTTTCTTTTGGTTCAAAATGTAGAATTAATAACTTCTTGTAAAAACAAAGTGTTTTTAAAATCTGCTTGGTTCATAATGTTCTATTTTTTTTTTTTTAATCTTTACCATTATAGATTTTGTTTTTAATTTGAAATTTAATTTTTTTTTTGATTTTTTAAAAAATTAATTTTTACTATAATAATGTCAGAAAAATTTAAACACAATAGAAGAAAATTTGAATACCAAGGAAGAACCATTTACGAATGGGAACAATCAATAGAGGAGATCAATATATTTTTTCAACCACCACCAGGTATAACATCGAAAATGATAGCATGCGAAATAACACCAACCAAATTAATCTTGGGTATTAAAGGAAATCCACCATTTATAAACGAACAATTTTATTCAAAAATTAAACAAAATGATAGTTTTTGGACTTTAGAAGATGGGATGATCCATATTACTTTACAGAAAATGAATAAGGCCGAAATTTGGTTAGCTGCTCTTAAAGGTCATTTAAATCAAAATGAAGCTTTATTAAACGAAGAAGATAAAAAGAAAATTATGTTGGAAAAATTTCAAGAAGAGAATTCAGGTTTTGACTAAAGGCAAAAAAAAAAAAAATTAAAAAAAAACAAAATATAAAAATTGTGTTAAATTAATTTTTTTGAATTTTTTCGATTTTTTTTTTTATTTTTATTACTTTTTTTACTGGGAACAATTTATAAAATAGTATAATTATACAGGCCAATAATAAACAGATAATGTGCAAATTTAAATATTGTTTTTTTTAAAGGTTTTTTGCCTGTATTTAAGGGCATTGTTTTTTTTTTTTTATTTTTTTTTTTTTTTATATATTAAAAATCATATAATCACTTACACATAACAAATCAAAATAATCTTTTATATTTGTTTTGTCCAATATTTATATTTATATATTTATACTTTAAACCTGGTATATAATAATGAATAATAATAATAATAATAATAATAAGAATTACAGTTATAATAATAAAATAAAAGAAAATCAACCAAGTATCAATTCTAATGAAGATATTGAAAAATGCAACCTTCCAAAAAAAACTTTTAATACCGAAGAAAATAGAGCTTTATTAGGAAATCAAATAAAAAAAGGTGATAAGAAAAAGATAATATTTGGTACGGTGGCCGTAGCAATTGTTGCAACTTTATTACTGACATACTTTATAGTTAGATATCACCAAAGACCCAACCACATTATTGCTTTACCAACTATAATAATATCAATAGATAGCTTCAGACCAGAATATTTAGAGCGTGGTTTAACACCAAATCTTCAAAATTTTATTGATGACAATTCATTTAAAGCCCAATTTACAACTGCTCAATTTCCATCGAAAACATTCCCAAATCATTATTCAATAGCAACAGGTTTATATCCACAAGAGCATGGTATTGTTTCAAATGAAATGTTTGATCCCAAAACTGGCAAAATTTTTAATATTGCTGAAGAAGACTCTTTAGATCCATCATGGTGGTGGGGTGAACCAATCTGGGTAACCGCTAACAAGTCTCAAATTAAAACCGCATGTTATTTTTGGCCAGGATGCAGTGCTAGAATTAATGGCTCACCAGATTACAATGCCTATCCATTCGATTGGGGTATTCCAACATCAGAAATATTAAACCAAGTTTACCAATGGAGAAAATATGGTGGTGATAATAAAACAACATCAACCATACCAACTTTAACAATGGGTTATATTCACGAAATTGATGATGCAGGTCATTCATATGGCCCAGATAGTGAAAAGGTCGACGCCTCAATCTCATCAGTAGATAAAAGTATTGGTGTTTTAATCGATCAATTAAAATCATCCGGTCTTTATGATAAAACTAATATTATTTTTACCTCAGATCATGGTATGATGGAAACCCCAACAAGCAAATATATTTATTTGGATGATTTAACCAATGATGAATATTTTTCAACAAAGTTCTTTACACCAGATGCAATTAATAATAAGGGCTATTCAGTGCCATCACCTCTTATCTCTATTTTTCCAAATGATACAAAGTATGTATTTAAATTTTATTATCTAATAAATATTTTCCTATTATAACCTATTAACAAATAACCAATTTCTTTTTAGATACTCTGAAGACTATCTTCATTTTAAATTAACAAGAAACAACGGTGGATATATAGATTTTTATAAAAAAGATGAAATACCAAAAGAATATTTCTATAACTCAAAATCCAACAGCAGAATCCCACCAATTTTAGGTGTTGCAAAACCAGGCTATAGTATCATTGTAAATAAAGAAACCATTCCATTCAATACAAAACAAGGTAATCATGGTTATGACCCATCACACAATGAAATGCATTCAATTTTTATTGCTCGTGGTCCAAATATTAAATCAAGTGGTGCTGAAGATACCGAAACTACCACAACATTAAAATCATTCAAAAACATCGAAATCTATAATTTATTGGCAAAACTAATGGGTATTGAATCAAAACATTTTGCGCCAAACAATGGAACATCTTTATTAATAGATAATTTATATATAGCACCAAAAATACAAACAAAAAAATAAACCATATTTAAATTAAACACTATATTTTCTTTTTCGTGTTCTTTTTTTTTATTTTACATATTATTTTAATCAATTCTACAATCCAAAATAATTTTATTTTATTTAATTAAAAAAAAAAAAAATAATTATTTTTTTTAAAAAAATAAATTTTTACTGGGGATTTGTTATTTATTTTATATATTTTGTTCAGGAATAATGTATTTTAGAAAATTTAGAATGTATAAATTAATTTTCTTTTGTTTTTTGACACTTTTCAGTTTAAAGACCAACTTTATACAAAACAAATAACAATTTTATATATCTATTTTATATAAATAAATATTTTTATAAACCTGGTATATAAAATATGAAAAATAAAAACACAAACATCAAAGAACATAAAATTAGTATAAACTATAATGATAGCACAGACAATTGGGATGATTCCGTAACAGAAGGTCTAAATGAAAACTTAAATAAACAAGATGAAGAGATTGGCTTAATAGGAAATAGAATGAAGGGGCGCGATAAAAAAAAGATTTTTTTTGGGTTTTTAATAATTGCAATAGTGGCCACTATTCTATTGGTATTCTTTGTAGTTAGACGTGAACAACAAAACAACATAATCTTTTTACCAACTATTGTAATTTCAATAGATAGTTTCAGACCAGAATACTTAGAGAGAGGTTTAACACCAAACCTACTAAACTTTATCAACGATAGCTCATTCAGAGCACAATTTACAACTGCCCAATTTCCATCAAAAACATTCCCAAACCACTATTCAATTGCCACTGGTTTACATCCACAAGACCATGGAATAGTTTCAAATCATATGTATGACCCAGATACTAACAAAGTTTTTAGTGCCGAAGAAGAAGACTCTTTACATCCATCTTGGTGGTGGGGTGAACCAATCTGGGTAACTGCTAAAAAGTCTAATATCAAAACCGCATGTTTCTTTTGGCCAGGATGTGGTGCAAAAATCAAAGACAATTTACCCGACTATAATATGGTACCATTTGATATGAAAACATCAACATCAGAAGTATTAAACCAAGTATATCAATGGAGAAAAGAAGGTGGTGAAAATAAAACATCATCAATACCAACTTTAACAATGGCATATATCCATGAAGTCGATGACAATGGTCACTTGTACGGCCCAGTCAGCAAAAATGTAGATGAATCAATATCATCAGTTGATAAAAACATTGGTATTTTAATTGACCAATTAAAACAATCAGGTCTTTATGATAAAACCAATATTATTTTTGTTTCAGATCATGGGATGATCGAAATACCAACACACAAATATATCTATATTGATGATTTAACTTTGGACCCATCTATATCATCCAAATTCTTTTCACCAGATGCAATTAGTAAAGGATATGCAGTACCATCACCAATTTTATCAGTTTTTCCAAATAACACAAAGTATGTAATAATTTTCTTTATAAAAAATTTCCCTTTAAATCATTTACTAATTAATATTTTAAAGTTATAACGAAGAATATCTTTACCAAGAACTTACAAAAAATAAAAGTGAACATGTAGATTTTTACAAAAAAGAAGACCTCCCAAAAAAATACAACTATAACTCTAAATCTAACAATAGAATTTCTCCAATTTTAGGTGTTGCAAAACCAGGTTATAGCATAATATTAAATAAAGAACTTTTGCCTAAAAAACCAAAACTAGGTAATCATGGTTATGACCCAGCACACGAAGAAATGCATTCAATTTTTATTGCTCGTGGTCCAAATATTAAATCAAGTGGTGCCGAAGATAATCATACTACTACAACATTAAAAACATTTAAAAATACTGAAATCTATAATTTATTGGCAAAACTAATTGGTGTCGATTCAAAACATTTTGCCCCAAATAATGGAACATCTTTATTAATCGATAAATTGTATAAAAATAAATAATTAAATTAAAATAAAAATTGTAAAAAAGATTTATTTATTAAAATAATTTATAACTTATAAATTATAAATATATATGTAAAGTTACTAATATATCTTTATTTTTTTTTGTTTTGAAAAATAAATAAATGAAAAAAAAAAAAATATTTAAATAATTTAATTGATTTGTTATTATGTGTTTTGGGGTTTTATTATACTATTATTACTATTTATTATTGTTTATTTATATTTGTTCATGAATTGTTTGTGGAAATCAGCAATTCTTTCACAAACGCCTTCGATAGCTTCTTCTGATGGAAGGAAAGTAGTACGGAAATGATAAGTACCATCCTTTTGACCAAAACCTGAACCTGGAACAACACAAATACCGGTGTGTTCTAATAATTGAATACAATAATAAGCATCTGGGGCTTTACCAATTGATTGGGCATATTCTACAGCTTTCTTTGGTAAACGAATTTGTGGGAAAGCATACATGGCACCTTCTGATGGGTTACAGGTTACACCTTCGAGTGAATTTAAAGCTTTATTTAAAAGGTTAGCACGTTTTTTGAGTGAATCATAGATACCATCTCTTTCTTTAATATAGAGTTCATATGATGAATCTCCTGGGGTTGGTGGACGAACCATTAAATCAACGACTAATTGACCAATAACATTTGGGCATAAACCAATTGAGGCGAGTTTATAGATTTCAGCTTTAACATCACTAGTGATACCATTGAGTTCCATATAACCACCACGTTTACCGCATTCACCGACGAAACCTTTACTGACAGAGTGGAATGAGACCATTTCGAGATCGGCATATTCACCGCCCATATCTTTAACAACTTTTTTGAATGAAATGAATGGCTTGTCTTCTTTAACATAAACATTTTCTTGGTATACTTCATCAGCTAAAAGAACAAGACCTTTATTTAAACAGAACTTGACAACTTCTTCCATATTGGCTTTATCCAAACATTGACCAGTTGGGTTACCTGGATTAATAATTACAAGAGCTCTTGGGTTAACACCTTTAGCAACGGCATCATTGTATGAACGTTCGAGTTCGCTGACTTCAAGTGACCAACCTTTTTCTTCATTTAAGAGATAGCCTAATTGTGAACCGTTGTAAAGCTCAATAGTGGCACTGTATAATGGATATTGTGGGATTGGGATCATGATACCATCTGAACGATCTTTAATTAATAATTTGAGAATACGTTGTACACCAGTTGAAGCACCATCAGTTAAGAAAATTTCGCTTGGATCGGCTGGGTGACCATCACGCTTTTCAATGAATGAAGCAACAGATTTTAATACTAAACTAATACCTTGACTGCTTGAATAAGCACCTGTGGTATTATTAATTGAACCTAAAATTTCACGAGCACGTGCAATGACATCAGCTGGGTAAATTTTTTCGATATATGGGTTATCTAAGAGTTCTGGGCATTCAGTTAATGATACAACTTGACGGAAAAATGTTAATGGTTTTTGTTTTAATTGTTGTGGGTTACCAATATTACAATAAACAATTTCGTCAAATGGTAAAACTTTGCTACCTTCTTTCTTTTGTTTTTCTAATTGGTGTGAAATTGATTCAGCACGAATAACTAATTCACCACGAACGGCATATTGTGCATTTCTAACATTTTGACAAATGTTATCAATTGTCATAGATTTTTCTAAATTGTAATAATAATAAATAATTAATATCAAAAAATATATTTGTAAATAATAATTTTACTTACTTGGTTGCATATTTTCGAATGTATTTATATTTTTATTAATAACAGTTGTTGAACTTGTTATTGGTTGAACAATAGTTGTATTTGGTTTAACACGAGTAATGGTTTCTTTACTTAATAGTTTTAAACTTCTTCTGAACATTTAATTATTCTTTAAAGAATAAAAAAATTTAAAAAAAATTTAAAAAAAAAAAATATTAAAATTTAATTTAAAAAAATTAATGTTATAATATGATTATGATGATGATATAAGGATGTGAATTATTATAAATAAAATTTTTAATAAAAAAAAAAATTTTAGATTTTTATATTTATTTTATTTTTTTTTTTTTTTCAGAAAATAAGTTTTTTTTTTTGATTTTTTAAAATTGATTGTGAAAGAATGAAATTTACAATGTGCAAAAAAAAAAAAAAAAAAAACGAAATTTAATACTGGGACATTAAAAAAAAAAAAAAATACACAATAAATAATTATTGAGGGTGGTATTTGTTTTTTTGTGTGTATATTTATTTTGAAATATATATTTTGGTTGTAATTATATGTATGAAAAGCATGATATACTGTATTCTTATTTTAAGATTATTATTATAATAAAACTATTACAAATTATTAATGTTTATTATTTTTATTATTTATTATAAATGTAAAATAGTATTTTAATATTATTATTATAATTTCTATTTATAATTTTAATAAAATGAAAATTTTATAATAATAAAACGAAAAATTTTATTATAATAATAGAATGAAATGAATTTTCATTTTTCATTTTTTTTTTTTTTAATTACATTTAAAATTTGTTTAGTTATTGAAATAAATAAACACCAAATAAAATATGATTGGAAAATGAATAATAGTTATTATAGTTTTTATTAAATATATATATATATTATATGTTAATATGTTAATATATTGTTATATTATACAAAATTTAAAAAAAAATCTTCTTTGTTATTATTATAAATATTGTGTGTGTTGTGTTTATGAAATAAAAATAATAAAAAAATTTAATATTTTTTAAAAAAAATAATAAAAAAATAAAATAAAAAAAATTAATTTAATTTAATTAAATAAATTAAAGTAACATATACAAAAAAAAATCACACACAAAAAAATAAACACCTGTTACCCTTTATATCTATAAGGCTAATATTGATAACTAAAAAAAATTATAGTTTTTTTATTTTTTTTTTTATTTTTTTTTCATATTGAGGCTAGGTTATCAATATGTAAAAAAAAAATTGAAAAAATTGAAAAAATTAAAAAAAAATAAAATAAAAAAAATATTTTGTGTGAAAAAAAAGTGGGCATAACGATAATGATTATATTGTGGCATACTTTTTATGATATCGAACCTGGCCGATATTTTATATATTTGAATGACGTTTATTTGTTGTTATAAAATATTATTATTTATTTTATTTTTTTATTTTTTAAATTTCTAAAAATCTAAATTTCAATAAAAAAACTGTGATTATATTTTTTTTGGGTTATAAATTTTATATTGTATGTTGTTATTATGGTGATTTATATTAGGATGTTATTTATAAAACTGTTAAAAAAACTATTATTATTAAAAAATATGAGTGTATTTATTTTTTTGTTTGTGTCTGTGTTTGTGTTTTAATAATTTTTTTTTTTTTTTATTTACAATGGAATTTATTTCCTATTGTTATCCTGTTTATTCTGAAAAATAATTTAATAAAATAAAATCAATATTATTTTCTATATAAATAAAATTAAAGAAATTATCACAAAAATAAAAAAAAAAAAAAAAAAAAAAACTATTTTTTTTTTTAAAAAGATTTAATTGTATATGGTAATTTTTAAATTTTTTTAAAAAAAATTTTAAATAAATTTTTTTTTTATAAAACAATATATCTTTATATTTTTGAAACAAATCCTACCATTTAAATATTTTATAGAAAAATGATAGGATATGTTTCAAATATATTATAAATTGAATAATCCCGATATTTTTTCTCAAAAAAAAGCAATGATAAAAATATTAAAAGATTTTTTTTATTTTATTTATTAGATATCTTTATTTGACATTGATTTTTTTAATTAAAAAAATTTTATAATAAAACACTCTTTAGGTAATTTACACATACGAAAATATTTTTTATTTTATCTTCAGATTTTTACTAATAGGAGCTCCTATTAAAAATTTCTACTCTTTAAAAATATACAACCAATAATAGAATTAAAAAAAAAAATATCTATATTTCTGCATTATATTTATATAATAATTTTTTTTTTTTTTTAATTTTTTAATTTTTAATAAGTTTGTACCTGAATCATGTTTAATTTCAACATGGAAAATCATGAAACTGATTAAGAATTTGAGAAAACCCCAAATAGTAACCAAACGTGAACCCAGGAATTTTATCTTGGGCGGTTATGACACAATCAGAAATTATAACATCTCCACAAAGAAGATGTGTGCAATATTTAACACTAAACTCTAGTGATACATTAACACCAATTTCCGGTTTTAAGAACACCCTAAACTTTTTCAAATGTAAATTATTTTTTTTAAAACCAAAGGCTTTGCCCAAAGGTTTATGGTTTCGTAAAAAAAAAAAAAAAAAAAAAAAAAAAAAAAAAAAAAATTTTTTTTTAAAAAAATTAAAAAAATTGTTTTTAAAAAAAAAAAAAAAAAAATTTCCAAATATTTATAACTTTATTATTTTTGAAAAAAAAACCCCGGTGATTATTTTTTTTTTTTATTATTTTTTAAAACTTCTAAAATAGGTTTTTTTTTATATTTTATTTTTTTAAATATATAAATTTAAGAAAAAATTCAAAAAATTTTATAAAATTAATTTTTAAAGATGATAAAAAATATGAGGTTAACCAATGAAAAAAAAATAAATCCTTTCGGGTAAAGATTACTCTTTTTGATTTTATTATTTTAAAAAAATAAAAAATTAAAAAAATATAAAAAAAAAAAAAAAAAAAAAAGTTTAAATTTTTTTCATTTTAAAAAATTTGTTATTTTTTTATTTTTTTTTATTGCAATTTATTATTTTTTTTTAATTAAACTATATTTAATTTATAAATTATTGGTTAATTATAAAAGAATGTCAGGTAATTCAACATTACCATCTATTGATGATTCAGTTACAGAATGGACAAACGATATGTTTTCACCAGAACTTCAGGCAGCAATCAGAGATATTGTACCAGTAGCAGATAAAGATTTTGACAAACATGACTTTAGCCCAGTTTCTTATATTAATGAACATTTTCCAAATGGTAATTATTAATAGTTACTTATTTTAATTCTTCAGGTTGTTATGGCAAACAAAAACTAATTTAAATTTAAATTATTGCACTATACAGAACAAGCATTACCTAAATTGGATAATTTTATGAATAGATTAAAATTAAAGATTATTAAAATTGACGAGGAGATCATTCAAGAAGTTAGATTACAAAGTATTAGTGGTACTAAAGGTAAAGAGGATTTGGAGAATGCTAAGCGTTCAATTCAAGAGTTATTAAACAAAATTACAGATATTAAAAATAAGGCTATTCAATCAGAACAAATGGTAACAGAGATTTGCAAAGATATTAAATCATTAGATTATGCCAAAAAGAATTTAACAACAGCTATTACAACATTAAAGAGATTACATATGATGGGTAAGGAATACTTATATAATTATATACCCACCTCAAAATTTATTTACATAGTTTATTAATTTTTCATTTTGTTTTAATATAAAGTTATGGGTGTTGAACAATTAAAAGATATGGTTGATAAAAAACAATATGGCACAGTTGCAAAATTATTAGAAGCTACAGCTCAATTTGCAGAGGGTTTCAAAGATTATAGAGATTCACCAAAAATCTATGCACTAAATAAAGAGTTGGATAATTTGAGAGCCAAGGTAAAGAATCAAATTTATGAAGATTTTAAAAAGTAAGGACCATATAAAAAGAGTGAATAATAGATTTTTCAATAATATAGATAGATATTAACTCAATTATTTTTAATATTGTTAGTTATATACCATATACATCAAACCAAATTAAACCAAATGAGGAGAATAGATGGAAATCATCATGTTATGTTATTGATGCATTGGGTACAGAGGTTAAAAAAGATTTTTTAAGATGGTTTTGTGATATTCAGTTATCAAGCTATAAGAGTGCATTTGGTATTGCATCAGAACATTATACAATTGATAGTACAAAGAGAAGATACGAATGGTTACAAAGACAACTTAAAACATTTAGAGAAGAGTATGCATTGGTGTTTCCACCTGAATGGTGTATGGAGGAGCAAATCTCATATGAATTTTGTATTGCAACTCGTTTGGCATTATCAGAAATCCTTTTAAATAATAAAAACTCTATTGAAGTACCATCTTTAATTAAGGCATTAAAAAGAACATTGGAGTTTGAAAACAAATTATATGAAATTTTTGCACAAACCAATCAAAAATTAGCATCACCAACTGTATGTATAAACATTAGAAACTATTGCGATTTATCATTGGATCATTTATTAATTCTATTTTTTATTTTTCTAGACATCAACACCAACTAATCAAAGTGAAAGAGGATCAGATTCAGATGAAGAAGAGGATTCAGATGAAGATAATCAACAAAGTGGTGAATCTAAAAATAATAGTGAGGATGCAATTAGAAAGAGATGGGAGGCTAGAGTTGAAAAAGATAAAAAGAAAGAAATGGAAAAGAATCAAGAAGAACAAAAATCATCAGTCGAAATTCCAAAATCATATGAAAGATTCAAAGGTATTATTTCAACTTGTTTTGAACCATATATGGATTTATATATTAAAGAGGAAGATAAACTTATGGGAGAGGTTTTAGATAAAGTTATAAGTGAAGAGAAATGGACAATCTCAAGTGAAGAGTCAAATAAAATTCTTACTTCATGCACTGATTTGGTATATCATTTCATCAAAGTTAGAAATCGTTGCTCAGAGCTTACCAAAAGAGAACCATTCTTTAATCTTTATCATTTATTTAGAAAATATTTAACTCAATATGCAAATATAATTTCAAGTAAAATACATAGGTAAATATTATAGCAGTAATAAATAATTGATTTTTATTTATAGTTTATTTACATTTTTATTATTATTATTTAGTGATGTTGGTAGAATACATGATGCCCAAGAAGATAAAACAATTTGTTTAATTATTAATACAGCAGAATTTTGCAGAAAAACAGCAGGTCAAATGACAGATGGATTTAAGAAACTTATTGACGAAAAATATAAAGATCAAATTGATTTGAAGGACGTTCAAAATGAATTCAGTAGTATTATTGCTAAAGGTGTTAAATCATTAGTTAGTGGATTAGAGGCAAAATTAGACCCACATCTTTTATCAATGACACGTACAGATTGGGGAGAAAAGTATCAATATGTTGGTGATAATTCACCATATGTAAATGAAGTTGTTGGTATTATCGCTGATCAAATTCAAATTGAACTTGTATGGTTATCAGTAGACCACTATAAATATTTCTGCGATTTGTTTGCTGGTTCATTTGTATTACGTATCACCCAGTCAATTTACAAGTGTGGTCGTGTATCAGAAATTGGTGCTCAAGGTATTCTTTTAGATATTACAACTATTAAAACCATTCTTTTAGAGCTTCCAAATAAAGTTAAAGATAATCGTAGTAATAATCGTTACACTAAATTGGTCAATAAAGAATTTTCAAAAGCTGAAAACCTCCTCAAAGTTGTTGGTTGCCCAACCAATCTCCTTGTCGAAACCTATAAAGAATTATTCCCAGATGGCTCTGATCAAGATTTCCAAAAAATCATGGACCTCAAAGGTTATAAAGTTGGTGATAAAATTCAAACTGAATTGTTTGAAAAACTCTCTAAATTTGGATCAATTGGTACATCAATTAAAACTAAATTTTTTAATAATTAATAATAATAAAAATACCAAACAAATAAAAGAAATGCTTTCTTTTTTATATTTTACCAAAATATAAAAATAAAATTAAATAAAAAAAATGTTACACTAAAAAAAAAATAATTTATAAATAATCTTATAATTATTTAATAAAAACTGTTATTTTAAATTTTATTTATTGTATAATATATATTTTAATTATAAAATTTAATAATAATATTAATTAAATCATTATTTTTGTTGGTGTATGTTCTAGTTGTTATTATTATTACTATTATAGTTAAAATTAAAACTAGAATTTTTTGAATTGTTATTGTTACTGTTGTTATTATTGTTGGTTGGTGATAGGCCAAAATTAAAACTAGGTAAAGGCGATGATGAAGATGGTGATGGGTTTGGAGCAGTTGAGGTTGTAGTGGTGGTTGTAGTGGTGGTTGTTGTTGTGGTACTTGTTTCATGTTGTTTTTTCTGTTTATGTTGGTTGAATAAATTCTCTAAATATTCAGCTCTTGAAGCAGCTAATACAGCTTCTTCAATCTCCATTTCGGTTTCTCTCCAATCAGAGTCTAACAAAGCTTCTTCGTAAAGCTGTTGATTTAATAAATCAAATTCTGATTTTTTAATAGCTTTATTCATTTGGGATTTGTCTGCTTGTCCAGGATGAAAGTCGGGAAATCCTAGTCCTACACCAACAGATGGATTGCTAAGATCACAAATGCTGTCATAGTGATTCCCGTGATGATAGCTTAAACGAATTGGGTATTGATTACCGCGATATGAAAGGTGAAATATATTAATTGGCTCCAATGATTTGCTGTAAACTTCGATTGGCCTATTAAATAGTTCTGCCATTGCTTGCATCTCCGTATTATTCCCAAATACCTTATCATTTCTTTTTCTTTTTATATATTCATTAAAATCTTCGGTAATAAATTGTGAAAAGTGGTCACGTTCTGCTTCCATATAGTCTAAGCACTTCTCTCTTACGGTAGAGTGCATTTCTTGGTCCCCATATATTTGATCTGCCACTGACCTAAATAAACAATTTCCATCCTGTTTCATTTTTCTAATTACATAACCTTTAGTTTTTTTTAAATTTTCTTCAAATGATTTTTCATCATAAAATTGTGGTGGTTGTGGTTGCTGTTGTTGATTTATATTGTTGTTGCCACTACTACTGTTGCTACTATTGTTATCTCTTTTCTTTGAGGATTGTTTATGGTGATTATTAGACTCATATTCGTCTGCACTATTATTTTCTTCATCAGAATGAGTGTTATTAATATTTATACTTGTTTCGCTTTCCCTATTTCTATTTGATGCATATGTTGATGAATTTGGTGATGAAGATTTCTTTTTCTTTGTGTTATTATTATTATTATTATTATTATTATTATTATTATTTACATTATTTACATTACTATTGTTATTATTTACATTGTTTATATTGTGATTATTATTGTGGTTTTGATGATTGTTATTAAATGCGGTCGTTGTGGTCGTTGTGGTTGTGGGGTTTATATAGCCATTTTCATTACTGCGAATAATATTATTGTTACGATGTTCACTATTTATATTGGGGTTATTATTCCCATTGCTATTATTGTTACTATTTACATTATTGATATTATTATTGGTGTTATTATTTATATTATTGTTTATACTATTATTATTATTATTATTATTATTATTATTATTATTATTATTATTATTATTATTATTATTGTTATTATTATTTATAATATTTATATTATTGTTATTATTTATTACATTGGGATTATTTGGAGCTGCAACTTTACGAACAATTCTCATTTTTATGTGAAAATTATTAATAATTTGTATATTTTATTTTATACCCGCGGTTTGACTATATAAGAGTGTATTGAATAAAATAAAATAGAACTAAAAAAAAAAAG